GGTATAACCCCTGCTTTCATTGTATTTGATGTTGTTATAATTTGTGGAGGGGAAGGGAAAAAACAAATCGTTTAAATAGGGATACAGGTGGACCCACTGCAACAATGAGACGTACAAGTCGTATGTTGAAAATGAACTTTACAACTTTGATGGGGGGGGAGGAGGGTTGCTCATTGTCTTAGCAGCAGTTTGTGAAAGATCAATTCCTCTTTCCAGAGAAATCAACAGCCAGTCAATTTGAGAGAATCTCCAGGAGCCAGGAAAACCTTAGGCATTGGCCTTCCTGCTAGGGAGAAGAGATGTCAAATGGAAAGTGGGATTCTCTCGGGAGAAGCCAACCCAGAGGCAAGGGTTTGGGAGTTGGAAGGGATCAGGAAACTGCTACAAGGCACAAGTGCTGCCACCTGAGTGTTAGAGAAGGGTTTCAAATGCAACCAAATTAATGGTGCCACTAACCACTTCCCACAAAAACAAAACCAAACAAAAAACCCCCTTTCAAAAGAGAACACTTACTTGTGATGGAATTGCAATCTTTTGAAATTCATTCGTGTAAGTCGTATATCTTTGTTCTCCAGAGGGATCAATAGTTTCCTACAGAAAAGGGAAAATACAACCACAGTTTACCTTCACATCAGCAGTCTTTGGGCAGAGCTACTCAAAACAAGACAAACAAAACCACGTTAAGGACTTGTCTTGTTTAAGGCTCACAGACATGGGACTTCAGAGCTGGAATGCCATTAGAAATCACCTGATGTAACACTTCTTCTTACCTTCCGTGTTACAAATGAGAAGAAAAGTCAAAAGACAACCAAGTGACCTGCAGTACAGCAGCCATGGGGAACACAGCCTGCAGCATTGGGCAGACATCGTGTTTTTGGAACTATGATCCACAGTACTAAACCTAGGACACACACACACACACACACACACACACATACACACCACAAAACAAGCCAAAGAAACCCAATAATTCCCTTTTCATATTTTCTATGCTGCTCCATTCATTCCTATTAAAAATGTGGGTCACAATCTAGTAAGTTGATTTTATAACTCACTGGCTACAGTTTGGAAAGCATTGTCCTAGAGCACTCATTTTCTTTTTTCTTATCTCAGGCCCTTGCTCCAGGTATTGGTCCAATCAGCCCTGCCTGTGGGCAGATATGGTGTTGCCCACCACCCCCAGGGACCATGGGAAACAAACCTGTGACACTCAAGTTAGGAAAGCAGAAGGGTGGGACTACAGAACTGGACATGGTGCAAAACCTAAGCCTTCTCTAGACTGTAGGCCCAGAAGTCAGTGGAGCTGGGTTCGGGGTATATCCTGCAGGTGGAAACTTCCTGGCAAGATCATGTCATAAGACTGTGTGCTACTTTACAAGGTACAGCTGCCCACTGTGGCTCTGCAGAAATTTCCCAAAGCCACACATCCCCCAGAAATTGGCTATCAGGGATAATAAAAAAAATAGAGGACCAACTTTGTTCTGAGTTGAAAAGCAGTAACTTTTATCGATTTAGCAATTCAAAGGATATTTAAAGTCCTTTGGAAAACTTGCCTAACTTTGATCTTATGCTGAGGAAAGAAGAAGTCACAGTATTGGGGAGGTTACAAAAAGCATCTGATTACTGAGGGTTTTGGTTTCTTTTTGTGTAGACCAGCCTGAACTCTACTCCTGATTCTTTCCTGTCTCTGCCTCTTCAGTGTTGGGATCACAGCCTGCACTACCACACCCAACCAAGGTTATTTTGCTTTTGTATAACTTTGCTTCACTGGCTTTACCTTCATTCTGCCCCTATGGACATCTGCTACATGCTAGTGCCCACACCTGCAATCCTCCTGCTTAGAAGGCTAAAGACTGGAGGATCATGGCTTGAGGCCAGCCTTAGAAAAATGTCTTCTAGACTCCTAACTCAAAAGAAGCTAGGCATGGTGGCAGGACATAGTGGCACATACCTGTTGTCTCAGCTAGGACAGAAAGCCTAATATAAGCATGGCCAAGAACTTGGCCAGTGGTTAGTGAGACCCTGTCTCAAAACAGCCAGTGTAGAAAAGGGCTGGAGCTGGAGATATGGCTCAGTGAGAGTGCCCCTGCCTAGCAAGCAGAAGTCCTGAGTTCAAACCCCACTACACACACACACACACACAAAAATTGGACTCTAATGCTGGGTTTTGAACTCTCATGCTTGCTAGGCTGCTATGATTCTGCTAAATCATGCTCTCAACCCTTTCTTTTTGCTGGTCAAGTTTAGGATCAGTGCTTGCTTTCCATTCAGGCCTGCACCTGAGCCATAATCTGCCTACTACAGGTTTCTCCATCATCATGAGATGACAGGTCTTCACCATCATGTCAGGCTTCCCTCTGTGGAGCTGGAGTCTTGTGGATTTTTCTGCCCAGGCTGGCTTGGATATGTGATCCTCTCATTCTCAACTTCTCACATAGCATGGAGTGAAAAAAGGTGCATACCACTGTACCCACTGTGACTTGAGAACTGGTCTCATGACCTATTTTGTCCAAGCCACAACCCTCCTCTTCTCAGACTCCCAAATAGCTAAGATTACAGCGAGTCACCAATGCTCACCTTTTCCTTGATTCCTATTTTTTAAGTATTGTATTATACAGTTAAAAACTCAATGCATATCTTACAAAATTAAGTAAATTGAGAGAAAGGGGGGTTGGGAAGGATGAGGATAATGGTGAAAGGGTGATACTGATCAAGATGCTTTGTGGTCATAAACTGCTTTGTTGATTGAAAACTCTTTTGTACAACTACTTAGGGATAATAAACATGTACTTTAAAAATGCGGGTGCTGGTAGCTCACACCTGTAATCCTAGCTACTCAGGAGGCTGCGATGTGAGGATTGCAGTTCAAAGCCATTCCAGGCAGTAAAGTCAGTGAAACTCTTATCTCTGAACTACCAGAAAACTGAAAGTGGCACTGTGGCTCAAGTGGTAGAGCACTTGCCTTGAGCTGAAGAGCTCAGCTCAGGGTCAGTGCCCAGGCCCAGAGTTCAAGCCCCATGACCACCACCACCAACAACAAAAACCACTGTATATCTTAGATTTTGTGAATTTTGGTATTCCCTTCAATTTGTGCCTCATTGCTCTCACCATAGTCCTGGCTCAGAACAAGGACACAGGCCAGTTACTAACTGCATATTAAATAAGGCAGCACAAATCCTGATTTTTCACTTAAGCACCATGATCTAAGAACTTTCTGCAAGGAATGTTTCAGAACCACAAAATTCAACAGAGATAGTAACATCTTTCTTACCTTCGTGGTTAAAAACATTCCAGTTGCAATAAGGCAAGTGTAAATCATTGTCTCTGTTCTCCCTAGAAAAGAAGTTAGTGTTTTATTAAATGGGGGGAAAAATTCAACACATAACCTAAAACCTAAGAAAAGTGAGGGAAGGGGAAGTTTGGGAGGGGTGGGTAAGAATATTGAAAGAGATGACATTGATCAAGAAGCACTGTATTCATAAACTGCTTTGTTGAATGGCAATTCCTTTGTACAGCTACTTAAAGATAATAAAAATATTCAAAAACAAAAGCATAATAAATAAATAAATGGAATAGTGCTCATTAAAAAAAGAATGCAAGTTAGTTCAAGAGACCTTTTTTGACAGCCAATATATATTTATATGTTTTAGTTTTAGTTTATACATGAGATCAAAGCTAAGGACATTAATAACTACAATTTAACATTTTATCACAAACTCTTTTTTGTTGCTGTTGTTGACTGTTAATTTTT